TTAACACTGACGGCTCACACCCGCTTGCGTGCCACTCAGCACGTATGCTCCAAACCCTTGATGCCCACCCTTTTCGTCTTCGATCATACCCTCCTGAGAGGTAGATCTTCCTTACCTCCCACGTGTAGTTGGCGCAGCCCCTAAAACGGGGGAAGGGAGGGAGGTAGGAGGGACAAGGCGGAGGGCGAAGGATGGAGCACGAGAAAGATTTGCAGGAGTGAGTCTAGGAAAAGGATCACAAGTGGTAGAACCAGGCGGGCGGTGGTCGGGCGGGCGGACCCTAGCAGGTCGGTCGGGGGGGCCCAGACGGACAGGTCGAGCGGGCGGGTCGCTGAAGCGTCAGTCCTGCATGCATCGCGAGGAAGTCTCTAGCGACAGCGCGATTCCCAAGTGAATCGCCAGGAAGTCCAAAGCGGGAGCATGATTCCTGAGTGTCGAGGGCGCGGCGTTTCAATAAATTGCAAGGAACTCCCCCGCAAGAGCGCGATTCTTGGATAAATTGTGAAGAGGTCCCCCGCGAAAGCGCGATTTTGAATACATTGTGAAGAAGCATCAGACGGGAGCCGTTGTTCTTGTAAGTCGGGGGCCAGGGGCGCAGTCTGAGGCCCAAGACTTTCCTTTGTTAAAAACCGGGCACGAGCCCCGAGAGAACACGTACATTCAAAAATGACAAGGTGCACCGGTGGGGGGCGGATCAGAAATAGTTATTTGTAATGAATGAGCAGTCGACCATCATGGTAAGACTGTTCGATCTTATCTGCTCGCGTTTCACTCTACATGTATATCCCAACCCTTGACACCCGCAATCTTCGTCTCCGATCCTGCCCTACAAAGGGGATCGATCTTCTGTACCTACCGCATTTAGTTGGCGCAGCCCGTGCAAGAGTACGATTATTTGAAAAACTGTAAGGGCGTCCCTCGCGAAACGCTATGATCAATAATTTGTGAAGAAGCATCCGGCTGGAGCTATTGTTGGTGTTGCTGCTGCTGCTGTTGTTGCTGTTGTTGTTGCTGTTGTTGTTGTAAGTCGGGGGCCCGGGTCACAAACTGAGGCTCAAGAAGTCCCTTGTGAAAAACAGGGTGCGAGCCCTGAGAAGAACACTTTTCTGGACGAAAACATGATGGGCACCGAGGAGGAGGGGGTCAACCACAATTCTTCTCTACACATGCGAAGTCAACCACGATTTAGATACCATTCGTTCTTATTTGACCGCGTGCCACCCAACATTTCCACCCCAAAACTTCGATACCCGCACTCTTCGTCTTCGATCCGACCCAACCTTCGGGGATATATTTAGGCCGGGCATGTCCCTCTACAGGCAGATGTTGTAAGGCAGATAAAAATAGTCATACCATAATTAACAAACAGTCACCAACAACAGTCAAAGGGACATCCCCGACTTAATGAAATATCTCCCTTACCTACAACGTTTAGTTGGTGCAGCCCCAAAACAAGGGAAGGGAGGGAGGAGGGAAGCGAGAAGCGGAATGAGAAGGATGGAGCAAGAGAGACATGTGCAGGGAGGTTTGCAGAAAACAAGTAGCAGTGCCAGACGGGCGGGACTGGGCGGGGCGGGCGGGTGGGCCCAGACGGCGGGGTCGAGCGGGCGGGTCGCTGAAGCGTGAGTCCTGCATGAACCGCGAGGACGTCTCGAGCGGCAGCGCGATTCCCAAGTAACACAGGTCTGGCGCGCAAGACCTCCCATGCACATCACCAAACCGGGTGGGAGCCCCGGGAAGAGCACCGCATGGACAAAACCAGATCGATAGGCACCGAACAGGGCCCAGACATGCGACGTCCTGATTTTTTCAGGACGGCGCCCCTGGAAATCTAGACCCTTTCCCTGGGGCCGGTTTTTCGTCCTGAGTTGTTTTTTGACGGTCCCGAGGCCCTGCGAGGGCCCCCAGGGGTCGAAAATAGTGAAAAACCTCCCGTCCTGATTTTTTTACGACGCCATCATGTCTTGGGGGGCGATCCACCGTGGCTTCCGCCTCCAGGAGCGACGGACGGATCTCTATCCTGCAGCAGAGAAGCGGCGGGAGGCGCGAGGCCGGGGCCCCGGCGCGGCCGACCGCCGAGCAGGGCGAAGCCACACGGGGGCGAACCCCGCTGCGCCGAGGCGGGCGCGGGCACGCCGGAGCGCGCCGCGGAGAGGCGCCCACGAGCGGCGCGCAGCCACGGACGCCACGGCCGGCCGGTGGCGCGGGCCGGCGGGCCGGCGGGCCGGCGAGCCGGCGGCGCGGCGCGCGCGCGCCTCCTGCGGCAGGAGCGGCACTCGGTCGAGCCCTGGCCTCGGGCTTCTCGCGGGCCGTGCTCGCACACCGTCCCGCACGTGCCCGCGCCGTGGCCAAGAAAAAAAAAAACCCTTGCGCGAAGCGTGTGCGCGTTCGCGGCCCGATCGGGGGGGCCCCCGCCGGGCCGCGGCATGGCCAACACATCGGCTCGGGATGAGGAGCTGGCCCTGGGGGGGGGGCCGGGAGGGGCCGGGACTTCCGGGTGCGCAATGTTAAAACATGGGCATCGCATCTCTGGGGTGGGTCCTCCGGCCCGCGGGGCCACGAGAAGCAGCGCGCGGGAAGACTGCGGCAGGGAAACAGGGCCCCCTCGCAGGGGCCGCCGCGCGGCCGAAGGTGCAGGGCCCGCTCTGGACCACCAGGGAACAGAGACATCATCGCAGAGAGCCCCCACGTGTAATGTTGCGTGCTGGCCTTTATGCTTGCTGCGATACGCTAGTGGCCGTTTTCTGTTCGGCGTTTCGACCCTGGGCAAAAAGGGGGGGAGGGCGGGGGTCTGGCTCCTGTTTGCAACAACGCGTGCTATGGGAAAGCGACTCCACGTGCTCCAAAAAACAGCCAAGATCTACTCCATGATGGGGGGGTGCGAGGGCCCGCGCCGATAGGCACACTGAATAAGAAAACGATCATTCCGGTGTTTTTGTGTTCTCTTGTTTGCCTCTCGGGACTGGGCCCAAGACAGATCTACTACTACTACTACTACTACTACTACTACTACTACTACTACCACTACTACTACTACTACTGCTACTACTACTACTACTACTACTACTACTACTACTACGACTACTACTACTACTACTACTACTACTACTACTACTATACTACTACTACTACGACTACTACTACTACTACTACTACTACACTACTACTACTACTACAACTACTACTACACTACTACACACTACTCTACACTACTACTACTACTACAGTACTGCTGTCAACTACTACTACTACTACTACTACTACTACTATACTACTACTACTACTACTAACTACTACTACTACTACTACTATACTATCGGGAACGGCAAAGAGGGGGGTGTCCAGAGACGGGGGGGCGCAAATCATGACCGCGGCATGTGCGCGGCCCAGCGGGGGACCAGGGACGTAATAAAAGAAGAAAGAAGGCGCCATGAAACCTTGGGAGATATCATGGCCAACGCCCATAATATCCACCCCCCCCTCAGTTCATCACCCCCCTCTTTTCCGCCCCCGATACTAACTACTACTACTACTAACTAACTACTAACTACTAGACTACTACTACTACTGCTACTACTACTGACTACACTACTACCGCTGCCCGCACGCCGACGGAGCCGTCGTTGCCCGCGCGCCGGCGCGACGGGGGCGCGCCGCGCGCGCGCCGAGCAGCCCCGGCCGGGCACGGCGTTGCGAGAAAGGCCCCGCGCGCAGGACGGGGGGGGGAAGGCCAGCAGAGGGCGACTGCGGAGGGGGGGAGGGAAGTGACTACCTACCAGCCCACCCCCCAACCCAACCCGAAGACCCGAATGTCGGGTTGGGGGGGGGATGGGCTCCATATGTGTTTTTTTCCAATGTTTTCGCCCCCCGCGCCGGCCCCCCCTGGAAATGCGAGAGCAAATTGAGGCCTTCGGGTTGGGTTGGGGTGGGAACAAATTGAGGCCTTCGGGTTGGGTTGGGGTGGTTTGGCGGGTGGTGAGGAAGGGAGGGGGGGGCGCTCGCACGCGTGCAGGACGGGGGGGGAGAGTTGTCCCGCGTGCAGGACGGGAGGGAGGACCCGGAGGGGGCGGCCGCGGAGGGGTGGGGGAGGGAGGGGGGGGCGCAGCGCGCGGGGCGGCCAGGCTGCGGGGCAGCCCCTGGCAGCGGCGCGGGGCGGCGGCGCGGGCGCACCCAGGGGGCGGGGCCAGCAGCCGCAGGGCGGCGGCAGCGTACTGACAGAACAAGCTCTTACGGCAAGACTGCGCCAGGTAAAGCTATCCTCGCGGAAGGAGGCAGGCTGCGAAGGGAGAGAAAGGATGCAAAGACGGTGATACAAACAAAACCCTGCAGCCACGCCATGATGTGTTCTACCCCATCTTGAAAATGCCTCAACGGCCTCACCAATAGATCCAACACGAGAAGCGAAACAACAGAGGAGGAGGAGGAGGAGGAGGAGGAGGAGGAGGAGGAGGAGAAGGAGGAGAACAAACAGCGAATGGAGAGAGCGCGAAAGACTTCAGACGCACACCGAACATAGGAGTAACAGCCCACCTGCTTGAAGCTGCCTTCCTCTGGCGATTGAAAGCGTGCAAATCGCAGATGATGGCCAAAGCCAATCGAGATTATGGTGGTGCTCATGTCTATCCGGATCAGAGACCTAATTATCTCTAAGCGCCAGCGTGTCAAAAGGGTCGTCGCATGTCACATTTGCATACACTTCCAAATGTGTTTCCATTCGCGTCACAAAAACCAAGTGCACATAACTAAACATAGCACTCTGCCAGTGTGCTAGCGTGACAGACCGGTCGCGGACCAGATCTGGCTGGCCGAGCCTCCCCCCTGGCCCTGACTGCTCAGCTGGGCTCGAACGTGCAGGACGAGGGGAGGCAGGGAGGGAGGGAGGAGGACGACGAAGGACGAGCAGCAGGATGAGCCAGAGGAGCAGCAGCAGGAGGAGGAGGAGGAGGAGGAGGGGGAGGAGGAGGAGGAGGGGGAGGAGGAGGAGGAGGAGGAGGAGGAGGAGGAGGAGGAGGAGGAGGGGGAGGCAGGGAGAGGAGCGAGGAGGCCAGCCGCAGCTGCGAGGGCACTGAGCCTGGCAAAGATACCATCTGCACACCTGAGCCTGCGACTGCACTGGCGTCCGGTCGGGCATGTCCTCCTGCCGGCGAGTTTTGCAGGAACAATTGAAATATACAGAGATAACCAAAACTAGTCAAACGAGCACGAAAAATCGTCACCATAATATGTTTTACTACTCTTGAGTTTTCCTCCTGTAGAGGGACATGCCCGCTTTCACCTAGCACACGAAAAGACCCGAGCCGTTTTCCTCGCCACTGCTCTCCGTTACCGCGCCGCCGCCTTCCGACGGGCGCCGCTGCCCTCACGTGGAATTCTTGAACGCTGCGTTCAAGGCCTCGAAAATCCGATCCGCTCGAACCTGGCTCTCTTCTTCTCGCTCACTCTCTCTCTCTCTCTCGCGGCTGCGGAGGGCATGGTCGCCGTCGCTGAGGTGGCACGGGCTTCTAGCCTCCGTGCTGGGGAGGCCCGTACTTTTACCCCCACTCCGCGGAGAAAGAGAATCCAAATTAGCGGCGTTCCAGATCCAGAGGCCAGTTCTATCCCCTCTCCGTGGGTCTCCCCCCATGCCCAAGCATGCACGGAGACGGTCGCGACCATGCCATGGCACCGCACACGAGAGGAACAAAAAGAGAAAGACAGAGACACCGATATGGACGAAAGACAGACAAATAGCCAGACTCACAAAAGGGGACAGATATAGAAGAAGAAGAAGAAGAAGGAGGAGAAACAAATGCATACACGTAAATTGTTGACGCTCCGCGCGGATTTCTTGGATCTGCGCTGGACCCCCCTCCCTGGCGCGCGGAGCGCGCTAGGGGCGGCGTTCGAGGGCGCCGCCCAGGGGGGGTCCCAGCGCGAGCCCAAGAAATCCGCGCGGAGCGCCAAAAGTTTATGTTTATGGCGTTGCTAAGTTGTTTGCCCGCGAAGCTCCAGCTGCTAGTACAGGTGGTCGGGAAGGCCACGACCACACAGAGACAGGTGCAGCGAGTGTTGCTCTTGCTTCTTCGAAGGGAGAGAGCGAGAGAAAGAGAGAGAGAGAGAGAAAACAAAGAGAGAGAGAGAGAGGGAGCTGACGAGGCTTGCCCAAGAGGTCTGTGCTGCCTGCTCTACTACCTCTCGCAGCAGCAGGGGCCCTGGGGCGGTGCCCCCCTCCAGCGAATCTCCCGTGGGCCTCCAGGAGGGTGCACGCGCGCTCGCTCGCGCACCTCGCGCGACCGGCGTGCGCACAGCTGCCCGGAGGCTCACTGCAAGCGTGCGCGCTGGCTCCCGGCGGCCGTTTGCGCCGCTGGCGCTGCTGCCAGGAAGCTCACCCCGCTCGTGCCCGCTCGCTCGGCGACGCGCCCTGCCGTCGAGAGATTGCTTCCTCATGTTGCGCGACGGCGGCCATGACGGGCCCCAGCCCTCGCCCATCCCGCCCTGGCAGCGGCACGATTCCTGCCAGGGCCGTCTGGGAGTACCCAGGAGCGCAGCCAAGAGGACTCGACGATCAGATACTTTGCACGGCTCTGCCATGGCAGAGCGTGCGCCCTGCTATGCCTATGCCAAAGACCTGCGACGGATACCCACAGATAGCCAAGCGCAACGTATGGGACTGCCGGAAACAGAATCTGGTGCTGCTCTATCCTTCCCTTCCCTCCTCCGCCACCTCCTCCTCCTCTCCCTCACTCTGCTCTCGTCCTCCTCGTCCTCCTCACTGCACTGTCAGGTGCTTCACACAAGGAGGGAACTGGAAAGGACAGATCGAGAGGAGGGGGGTGACGAGGCAGGCAGGGCCAGGCCGAAACAGCCTAGTTGCTTCCACTCCTGCTATCGGCTAGCCGAGCTGTCTCTCCGGCCACTCCGAAGCATTACCGGACGGCGCCGGCGCGACAGATGACGTTGCCGCCCCCCCCCTCCCCTCCCCTGGGCCTCCACTGTACAGTCGGGGCCTCGACCTAAGGAACCCTAAATAAGGAACGAGGCCTCCTTTTCCCGTAAGTTCAACTTAGATTCCCCATGGAGAACCTAAGGACAACCCAAGGCAAACTGTAAAACAATCAAGGAACACGGAGCCCCTCCCCAACGAAAAGGGTTCCTTCTCCAGCGCCTCCACTGTACGGCCGTGCCTCCCACAGTGCAGGCGCCCCCGGGCGGCGCCCCTCTCCAGAGAGCATCCCGTGGGGCCAGGGGCGGTGTACGCGCCCCCTTGGCTCGGCCGAGGAGGGGGAGGAGGAGGAGGAGGAGGAGGAGGAGGAGGAGGAAGAGGAGGAGGAGGAGGAGGAGGAGGAGGAGGAGGAGGAGGAGGCGGCATTCTACACCGATCTTGGGCCCAGAGTGGGCCAGGCCAGGTTCGGTGGAAAAAAGTTCTGCAGGCCTCGTCGCCCGAAGCCCGCAGAAAACAGTCCACACGGAGCAGCACCTCTCCAACAAAGGGCGCAGGAGCGAGACTGAATGTCCAGGCAGCTGTCCGGGTGTCCCGCAGCAAGACGCAAGACGGTCCAAGCGGGCCTCGTGCTCCTCCAGAGTTTTAAAACATTGGGGGTTAAATCCACGCCGCCATCTCGATACCATATGAGACGCAAGAAATCAGACATGGGACGTCCCGCTTGGGAATTAGGGTTTGAATCAAGGGGTCCAGAATATGGGCGTCTCGCTCTGAGAGAGAGTCTGGGCTTCGGAGTAAAACCGAGCGGTTTCCCAGACATCGTGTACACTACACTGCCGAAATGTACTCCCAACTCCCTGGGGGCTCGACCTGAGCGGCCATACAGACACCCTGTAGCGACCCCAGCGGTAGAGCCTACCCCTGGTTATCCTAGTTTACGAACCCCATCCAAGCCCACCTCAGCCTAGCCCAGCAACGCCCAGGCCGCCTCAGTCCTCCGCGGTCCAGCCAATTGCCAGGCTGAGTCGAACTGAGTCGAACTAGAATGAGTTGAACTGATTTAGTAGGGGGCAAACAAACCTACACCGCTTTTGACCACCCACGCTTCCAAGAGATGCCGAGCGATGCCAAACCACGGCCTGTACTGGTCAGGCCGCCTGGCGACGAGGAGGCGCATGGTATGACTTGCTTTCGCCTGGAAGCGAAAAAGCGGGGTAGGCAATTCACGCTCTGATTTCGCGCCGTCGAACCGAACTGAGGCGTCATGAGCGGAGCCGAGCACAACTCAACGGGCGAAGAACGGTATAAAATAAACTTTTTCGCTGTCGGGGGCGCCTGTCCCCGACGGCGGAAAAGTTTATTTAATCGCTTCGCTCATTCCGCCGGCCCATAATGTCGCACCGTGGTCGCCTGTCCGAGTGGTCGTTTGCAGTGTGGAGCTGCGGCGTCGGGAGCTGTGTAGTGTTGGGGGCGTTCTTGGGGCCCTCTTGGGCCGTCCTGGAGGCCTCTGGGGCCGTCTTGGAGCCGTCTTGGGCCGTCTTGGGGCCCTCTCGGGGGCCTCTTGGGCCCTCTTGGGGCGATCTTGGAGGCCTCTTGAGCCGTTTAGGGGCGTCGGGGAACCGAAAAGGTTAAAACGCCCAAATCTGTCCAACACCAAAGGAAAAGCACAGGTTTTTGCCTCTTGGGGCCCTCTTGGGAGTTCTCTTGGAGGCCTCTTGGGGCATCTTGGAGGCTTCTTGGGCCATCTTGGAGACGTCTTGGGCCGTCTGGAGGCCATCTTGGGCGTCGTGGAGCGATCTTCGGGCGTCTCGGACCTCTCTTGGACCGTGTTGGGGGCGTTCTTGGGGCCCTCTTGGGCCGTCTTGGAGCCGTCTTGGGGCCCTTTTGAGGGCCTCTTGGGCCCTCTTGGTGCGATCTTGGAGGCCTCTTGAGCCGTTTAGGGGCGTCGGGGAAACGAAAAGGGCCCAAATCTGTCCAAAACCTAAGAAAAAGCATTGATTTTTGCCTCTTGGGGCCCTCTTGGGAGTGCTCCTGGAGGTCTCTTGGGGCATCTTGGAGGCTTGTTGGGTCATCTTGGAGACGTCTTGGGCCGTCTGGAGGCCATCTTGGGCGCCGTGGAGCGATCTTCGGTCGTCTCGGACCTCTCTTGGATTGTGTTTGGGGCCTCTTGGGGCCCTCTTGGGGCGATTCTGGAGGATCTGGGGGAGTGTCCCGGGCGTGTCTCGGGCGTGTCCCGGGCGTGTCCCGGGCTCCTCCGGGGGTACTTTTGATCCAGGGACCCCCAGGGGCCGCCCCGCGCGCGCGAACTAGAAATACTGTTTACCAGTTACCGGAGATCTTAGCACGCCTCTGGCCCGTTGGGCCAGCGAATTTCATACCGTTCTTCGCTCGCTGAACAACGAACTGACCTGGACTGCCCCGCACTGGGCTGACGCTACAGGGACCGGACGGGTCGGGCTGACCCGGTGCTGCTCTGCCTCGGCAGCGCAGCGCAGCGCAGCCCTGCCCGAGTCAGCTCAATTCAGCCCAGCCAGGCCATCGTCGTCGTCGTCGTCGTGGTGGTGGTCATCGTCGTCGTCGTCGTCGTCGTCATCGTTGTCGTGGTGGTCATCGTCGTGGTCGTCGTCGTCGTCGTCGTGGTCGTCGCCGTCGTCGTGGTCATCGTCGTCGTCGTCGTGGTCGTCGTCGTGGTCGTCGTCGTCGTCGTCGGTCGTCGTCGTCGGTCGTCGTCGTCGTCGGCCAGGCAAATCTGAAAGCAGATCATCTCAACCGAATCTTGCTAAGTCGAGACCAACAGAGCCCAGACCAGCTAAGCCCCAGCCAAGCGAGTCCAGCTCAACCCTGCCCTGCGAACCCCACCCCAGCTCGGACCCACTCGGCCCAGCCTGGTCCAGCTCAGCAGACTCCATCCAGATCCGCCATGCTCAGCCCACTGCCCGGCTCAGTCCAGCTCAGCCCAATTCAAGCTCAGCTCGTTCCAGTGCCAGCCTGCTTCACTCCAACTCGATCTGACTCGATCCAGGTATTTCGAGCTCAGTCCAGCTCAGTCCCACTCCGCCCTGCTCGGCCCAGCTGACTTCAGGTCACTCCTCGTCAGCCCTACCTCTGTCCGGCACAGGCCTTGTCCGTGCAGCTCCACGGAGCTCCGAGGAGCGGTCCGTGTTCCTTCTCCGGCGGAATACGGCACAATATACACTGACTACCTACCAAACCACCCCAACCCAACCCGAAGACCCGAATTTCGGGTTGGGGGGGGTATGGGTTCCATACGTGTTTTTTCGATGTTCCCAACCCCCCCCCACTGGAAATGGAGGGCAAATCTGAGCCTTCGGGTTGGGTTGGGGTGGTTTGGTGGGTGGTGACATACAGCGTAGCTCACCTCAAGACAGCTCCACCCAGCGCAGCCAACCCTGGTCGAAGTCAGGCTGTCTCAGTCCGCCTGCCCAGCTCAGCCCAGCCCAACCCGGCTCAGCCAGGCTCGGCCCAGCTCAGCTCAGCCCTGCTCAGTTGAAGGGGCCCCGGGACACACACATAAATACACACTAATAAGAAGATTCCTCATAGTTTCCCATATTTTCTGGGTGTTTGTCTCCCCCGCACTTTCCCATATTTTCTAGGGAATCGACGATTCATTGTGTCTGTGTGTTTTTTCCCCTCCTGATCGGCCCAGCTCAGCTCAGCCCTGCTCAGTACAGTCGGGTGCAGAATGATGCTGCTCAGCCCTGCCCTCGCCCAGCCGGGTCAAGCAAAACTCCAGCTGCGACAAGCTCAATTCAACGCAACTCTGCCGAATGTTGGTAGGTCCACTTCTTTCTAATTCAGACCCCCTCAGTGCAGCTTGGGAGCCCAGCCCACCTGTCCCGCTCTTCGGGCTTGCAAGCTCACACTTGCAAGCTGTATAATAACGTTTCTGCTCGTCCCAGCACGCGCAAGGGACATCCGAACTGAGCCATAATGCTCAAATATATGTTGAGGTGTTCGGCGAAGCCCTATTCGCGAGTACGCAAATCGCCGCCTTTGTGCTCCAGAATTCACGGGCGCCCCGATGGAAAATCATGAGTGGTCCTACCATTGGGGTAGGGTTCGAGTGGGCACGACAACGTCGTTGGTGGGGAACGTTTGCTCAGCTTGTCGCGGAACCGGCCCCAGCGACACGCTATGACCTGCATGATGATAGCGTGTCGGTCCGCTCCGCGGGGCGGGAGGCTGGGAAAAGGAGGGGTCGTTGACGCTCGGGGACCCGGAAATGTTTATCGTGTCGCTCCGGACCCTCTTGACCGGCTGGTGGGCCAGAACTGGCGACGCGACACGCTAAGCCAGCGTTCCCGACAATATATTCGAATCAACACCCCACGTCATATCAGACGACGTGCGAATGCAAGTATGCGTGAATCGATCGATTTCCGGTGGCCGGGAACCAGGTGAAGCACTTTGATTTTGAAAGAAGGGGCAGGCAAAAGATAAGCGACAATAGCACCACCCGATGAAGTACTTGACCTTCGAGGGTAGGGGGGGACGCGGGCAAGAAGGCATGTCGTCATGCGTGTCCACACTGCTTCTCACAGCGTGCGGTCTTGCCCTGCGGGTCCCGACGCCCATCGGGCCACGAGACGCACAGAGCTCACCTGCGACTGGGCGCATAGCGTAGTGCACGAGGGAGGAGGACAACGATGACGAAGGAGGTGATCCTCCAACCTCTTCTTCTGCTCCTCCACTCTTCTCATCCTGCACGTAACCCCGCCTCTTTGTCCGTACCCGTTCTCCACCTTTTCCCCCATCCTACTCCCTGTCATCCCCTCTTATCCTCCTCCACCCTGCACCCTCCAACTCTGCGTGCGTTTCCTTCTTACTCCTCCCCCCCCACATCCCCGAGAATACCCCTCTCTTCCCTCAAAATACATCCGACAAATTCTCCTCCTCGTCTCCATGTTTTTAAACCCCTCTATATCATGAGTCATCCCTCCCGCCTCATCGCACCTCCCAAAGAAGGAACACCTCCTGCCTTATCCCTTATCGCCCTCCCTTCTTACACCTTCGGTAACTCCTGTTCATCCTGCAACTCCTCCTCCTCTTCCTCCTCCACGTCCTCCTCCTCATCCTCCACGACCTCCTCATCATCCTCCACGACCTCCTCCTCCTCCTCCTCCTCATCACCATCATTATCATCATCATCATCATCATCACCACCATCATCATCCTCATCATCATCATCAGCATCAGCATCATCATCATCATCATCATCATCATCATCAGCATCATCATCTCATCATCATCATCATCATCACCAGCATCATCATCATCATCATCATCATCAGCATCATCATCATCATCCTCATCATCTTATCATCATCACCATCGTCATCGTCGTCATCATCAGCATCATCATCGTCATCGTCATCGTCATCATCAGCATCCTCATCCTCATCATCATCACTTTCATCATCATCATCATCATCATCATCATCATCATCGTCATCATCAGCATCGTCACCACCATCATCATCATAATCATTATCGTCACCATCACCATCATCAACATCATCATCATCGTCATCATCATCTTAATCATCATCATCATCATCATCATCATCATCATCATCATCATCATCATCATCAACATCATCACCATCATCATCATCATCATCATCATCATCATCATCATCATCATCATCACCATCATTCCCCGTCCTACTACATCCCGCTCCCGCTCCGTCCTCCTCCTCCTGCTCCTCCTCCTCCAACTCCTGCTCCTCGGCACCGTCACATCACCATGATCATCAGCAATGTCCCCTCCCCCATCCACACTCTCTCCCCCCTCATTCTCGCCTCCCTGGACTGCCTCGTCTTTCCCTCCTCACCATCACTGGCCCCCCTCCCCGTCCACCTGCTTCCCCTCGCTCCTCCTCCTCGCCTTCCCTCCTTCACCTCCTCCGCCTCATCCTTCTCCTCCTCTTCCTGGTCCCATTCTCCTGCTCCAGAATCGCCATGGTCCCCGCAGCTCTCGAACAAAATATCAAGAAGACGACGGAGACTGAAACCGAGACAACGTACGACGGACGACGGACGACGACGACGACGAGGACGACATCGACGAAGACGACGACGATGGCGCGACGGACGACGACGACGACGACGACGACGACGACGACAAAAACGGCGACGACGACGACGACGACTAAGACGACAAAGACAAAGACGACGTCGACAAAGACGACGACGACCTTCGACGGACGACACACGACGACGACGACGACGACAACGACGACGACGACGACGACGACGACGACGACGGCACACGACGACGACGACGACGAACGACGACGACGAACCACGGACGACGGACGACGGACGACGGCGGCGGCGGACCCCGGGGCGCCCGCGCGCCGTGGGGGGGGCCGGGCGCGGCGCGCCTGCACCTCGGCGGAGGACTCCTGCTGCCTGTCGGGATGGCACATGATGATGGCCTGGGCACGCGCGCGCCTCGGCCCCCTGGAAGCCCCGGCACGCGGAGGCCCCTCCTCCTCCTCCTCCTCCTCCTCCTCCTCCTCCTCCTCCACCCTCCTCCTCGTCCACCCTCTTCCTCCACCCTCCTCCTCCACCCTCCTCCCTCCTCCTCCTCTCCTCCTCCACCCTCCTCCCCTCCCCCCCCTCCTCCTCCTCCTCCTCCTCCTCCTCCTCAACTCTCCTCCTCCACCCTCCTCCCCTTTCACCTTCCCTCCTCAACTCCCCTATCATTCTCCTCGGCCTCCTGCCCCTCGCTCCTTATCACATTCCGATATTTTCCTCCTGGTCCTCCTTTTTGTTCCTCCTCCTCATTCCCATCATCATCATCATCATCATCATCATCATCATCATCATCATCATCATCATCATCATCATCATCATCATCATCATCATCACCATCACCATCACCATCACCATCACCATCACCATCATCATCATCATCATCACCATCAACAGCAACAGCAACAACAACAGCAGCATCATCATATTCATCATCATCATCACCAGCATCATGATGATGATCATCATCATCATCACCATCATCTTCATCAACATAATAACATAATCATCATCATCGTCAGCATCATCATCACCAGCATAAGTAATCGTCATCATGAACACCATCATCAGCATCATCATCATCATCATCATGATCATAATCATCATCATCAGTATCATCGTCATCGTCATCGGCATCATCACCATCAGCAGGTTCAGCATCATCATCATCATCAGCAGCAGCAGCATTATCATCATCATACACGAATCCTCATCCTCACCTTCATCCTCATCACCATCAGCAGCATCAGCATCAACATCATCAGTATCATCATCATCATCATCATCATCACCAACAGCAACATAAGCATCAGCATAATCACCACCATCCCTCTTTCTCTTCCCTCCTGCTCTTCCTCCTCTTTTCTCTCCTCCCCTTCCTTCTCCTCTTCCTCCTCCTCCTCACTCCTCCTCCCCCTCCTCCACGGTCGGTTTGCCGGATGGAGGACAGCCGAAGCCGACATGGAGGAACCAAGGCGGGGAACACCCAAAGGATGAAGGACAGGGCGGCGGCAGCAGGCCCACGAGAAGACGTGAGCAGTGGCCAGCGCGACGTGCACGGGCCCAACATGCAGCTGCCAGCGCGACGTGCGCGATATGCAGCGACACATGCGCGACATGCGCGACATGCACGAGAGGGCATGACCAGCTGCCAGCGCGACATGCGCGACCTGCAGCGCGACAGGGCTGGCCACGCTGGGTTACGACCGCATACAATGGATGTACCCTCGAGAAGAGTTCAGATACGAATCGGGAGAAACGGAACATTATCTGACCAGGTGGACATTTGAGATGGAAGCGGGCAAGAGACACAGTCCCGTTGAAGCACCGGTCCTTCCCCCATGCCTCAAACATGCTACTGTCTAAGGCGCTACAGGCTCCCATGTCGGGCCCCTGCGCATCATGCAACTACTGTCAAGGAGGTGGCGCGCCCGGCGGAGCCTTGGGTCTCGCCAAACCTTCATTGCACGACTCGTGCGGTAGTTGAAACATTTCGGCAGGTAGTGTCTGCAACTCTGCAAGTCATGAATAAAAGAAGTGGGGGAGGAGAAACAGACCGTTCACGGTATGCAACAGGGCGGGCTCAGCATGGGTTGTCGGGAAGTGCAATGTAAAGTCCGTAGCAATCCCTGGAATCGCATAGGAAGGGTCCCAATGGTGCCGCAAAACGCCATAGTCCCAGGGGCACAGCCCAACCATCGTCGCAGTTGCGAAGGTCAATCACAGCCTTTAACGCTCGATCGTCGTTGAAGGTCTGTAGGTAGTGGCCTGTCAGCAGCAAGGGATGGGATGGAGCCCGACCCGGGATCCGAGCAAATTTCAGGGAACCTACCGCACGTCTCCTGGAGAACTCCGTCGTCTCCTCCTCCTCCTCCTCCTCCTCCTCCTCCACCTCCTCCACCTCCTCCGCCTCCTCCTCCTCCTCCTCCCCAATGGTTTGGGGGAAGGGGCAGTGTGGGGGAGGAGTGGCGAATGAAATAGAGAGAGGCTTAGAGGGAGGTCAGGAGGGAAGAGGAGGATAAGGAAGACGATCGTGAAGAGGAGGAGGAGGAGGAGGAGGAGGAGGGAAGAGAAGGAAACTGCATCCACCGCCTCCGCCACCTCCTCGTCGCCATGCCCTGCCACCATTATCTCCCCTCTGCTTCCGTCGCGTTCTGCACCTTCTCCTCCTCCTCCTCCTCCTCCTCCTCCACCTCCTCCCCCTGAATTGTCATCATCATCAGCATCATCACCAGCATCATCATCGTCGTTCTCGCCATCATCAGCAGCAGCATCGGCATCATCAGCATCAGCAGCAGCATCATCACCGTCGGTTGTCATCATCAGCATCATCATCGTCGTACGTATCATCATCAGCATCGTCATCATCACCATCAGCATCATCATCACCATCACCACCATCATCACCATCATCATCATCATCACCATCATCATCATCACCATCATCATTATCATCACCATCATCACCACCACCATCATCAGCATCATCACCATCATCATCATCATCATCACCACCACAATCATCATCATCATCACCATCATCACCATCATCATCATCACCATCATCACCATCACCATCATCATCACCATCATCATCATCACCATCATCATCATAATCATCATCACCACCATCATCATCATCATCATCATCACCATCATCACCATCACCATCACCATCACCATCATCATCATCATCATCATCATCATCATCATCATCATCATCATCACCATCACCATCACCATTGTCATCGTCATCACCCCCCCTTCCCTCCCCCTCCCCTCCCCCTTCCCTCCCCGCTCCTTCCAGCCGCCCGGGCCCAAGCTCGCTTCCCGGGCGCCCCGGGGTATCCAGCCGCAGCGGGCCCCGTGCTGGCGGCGATGGGGGAGCCCGCGCCGAATCCCGCTCGAGGTGGCTCGCGCGGCGCCGTCCCCGCCGCGCCCCCGGCGGCCCGGCTGACGCTGGGCTGACACACTTTCGGGGATGGACAAACCCCCCTCCTCCTCGCCGGCGGCGAGGGGCGCCCGCGCCGCGCCCCTCGCGGTGGCGCGCGGCGCCGTCCCCGCCGCGCCCCTGGCGGCCAGGCTGACACTGGGCTGGCACACTTTCGGGGATGGACAAACCTGAAGGGGCCCCAGGACACACAAAAAAATACACACAAGTAAACATGTGCCCCATATTTGCCCACATGTTCTGGGGTTTTGTCTTCCCCCCCACTTCCCATATTTTCCCGCATTTTCCTGGAACTCGACGATTCAATTTGTGTCGGTGTTTTTTCCCCTCCTGAAGCCCCCCCTTTGGTAAAACGTGGTTTCGTGAAAACGGCCCGAGGCCCGAGCCTGGCGGGCGCGAGCCTGGGAAAAATAACGGCCACGGCGCCCCCTCGCGAGCCGAGAACGGACAATTCACTGATCGACGTGCCACTGTTAGGGGTTCTGTCCACCCCCGACACTCGGCGGCTGCCCCTCTGCGGCGGCGGCAGGGCGGGCGAGGCGAGGGGCGGTCCGCATGGCGCCGACGCCGGCGACGGCGCCGTCGTGGGCAAAGCGTGGCGGCAGAGGGCGCGGCCGCCCGGGCGGCCGCGGCACCCGTGCTGGAGCCAGACGTGGTGGCACGCGCACGGCGCCGTCGAGTGGCCGTCGGGCCATACCAGAAGCGTCACGGTGTGTGCATGGAAGGAATCGGTGATGCATCACCGAAGGCTCAAGAAGCTCGGCGGTGCACCTGCGGAATGCCCACATGCCGGGGCCAGGGTCTACGAAACGAATCAAAAAACACGACCGCGCGCGCACGCGCCTTCGCACCAGCAGAAGCTATGGGCCCGATGCTGGCGGAGAACGGGACCCTGCGAGCGGGCCGGAAGCGCCCCATGGCTGCCGCGGCGGCGCCAGCCCAGCAGAACCTTGGCGCTGCCACCTCGGGGAGGGCGGCCCAGCTCGGGCTGGCGGGCGACTCGGGCGAAATGGGGCAATGTGCAGAAGTCAGGTTAAATTTGTCTGCTGTGCATCGTGCCACGGTGGCGTTAATTTATAGCGTTGTTCCTTTTCACGCCATCCTTGGCATGGTCCACCCCAGGCTGCAGCTATAAGGAAGTGCATGGGGCTTGATTGGCTCAGGCTGCCCTCTGCCAGTATGATCTTATCGCGCGTTCTTCGGGGCATCTTCCAGGTATGCACATGTTGATCTACGGTCTGGCGGGCAGGTTTACGGTGATCGGCTACCGATCTGCATCGTTGCAACTGTCATGGCCGTCAGCGTGCGTGTGCGTGCTATCCAGCAGCTGCTGGTGCAGTGAAGCAACTACTGATCAGTAGCACATACTTATCAGTCACCTGTGCTGTTGTGGGCCGGGCCCTCAACTGCTGCATTTGATGGCGTACGCGGGATTCGATCCCACTGTCTGAAAGCTGCCCTTGGGGTCAGCTGCCACCATACGAGAGCGCATGGTGCATGGTACTTGCAAGCACGACTCATTGTTCAATCCTATGTGCCGGTGAGGGCGGCTGTGGTGGAAATTCTGTGGTGCGCGCATGACCCTTCACCTGCCTGGACATGGTCTGTGGGTCCGGCTGCCGCAGTGCACGGGAGCTGTGCACGTGCAGCACGCGAACCACAGAACGGCTGCCGTCCTCTTCAGGTTCCTCGCCTCGCTGGAAGAGCTCAGAACGGGGGGCAGGGAGTGTGCTTTAGCCATGTTACATCATGATGGTAATCCTTCTCCTCCACCTCTTCTTCTTCTTCCACGCCAGTACAATCGCAAGCGATTCGGCAGCACACGCATGCACATTCAGCCGCGCCTGTCATTCTTCACGCGAACTTCAAGCCAAGCTTCATACGTGCAAGCGAACGAACATTCGTCTTCAACACACGCCTAAGATCTCGAGGACGGGGAATATGGAGAAATCGGGTGTCGTGTGCGTGGCCAAGAAGTGCGTCAGCTCGTCGCGACCAGATACACGTGTGCAGAAATACAACACACACCAAAGTGCAGCCTCCAGCTCAGCAGCAGTGACGGTAGCACGGCTATCGAAAACGAAACTCATGTCAGCCACCCTTACCCATTCAGACGGGTCGTCGTAAACGATGTCCTGTGCACCATACAAGACCCATCCGCCACCGCTTCCACTTGCAGTGTGGCTGCTATCAAAATGAGCCCGGTAATATTGGAATACCTGCACATCACCGGCCACGGTGGCATATTCAGTACGTGTATAAGTATGCATGCCAGCCATCGCATCAGCCTCCTGGTTGAGCTCGCGAAAGACATGACGACACCAATCGGATTGCACCTGCCGGGGTTGGAAAGAATGGTCTCTTGACAAACGCTCAAGCGCGCGATGTAGAAGCTTCAACCTGGCGTCATACACAGGATGCTTGCACCTCCACAGGCCGTCGATCCAATTGACAATCAGCATGCTGTCGCCCACCAATTCAAAACGAGACACGCGCGAGGGACCTCGTGTCCACGGCATGGGTGCTCGCTCGACTGCACGCGGCTGTTTGGGAATCCCAGTAGACGTGCTCAAGATCGCTCTGGTCGGGAAGCGGTCCTCCAACGGGCGCTCGTTCAGCAGCTTGTACGCAGCATGCCGGAAGGATTCTCGCTGCTGGCGCCAAGTCGCTGTTGCAACCACTCGCTTCCACTCAGTGCCATAGATGCGCGCGAAGACGGCTTCCCAGTTGAAGTGTATCCCCGATCTGTCATGCCGCCAGTTCTCTTTGTTAGTTGGATCCATGATGGCACCCATGGTTTGCACAGCCCGCCACCACTCCGCATCTCTCCAGACCACGCATGCAGCAACGAAGCACTGGGTAGGCACCACACCACACGTGGAAACAACAGGAGTCGCAACCAAGTTGTAATACAGCTCAGTACGCCCGCCCTCGCAATCCATGCAAACGCGAGCAAAACCGCGGCCAACGACTCTGTGAAGAGAGCCCAAGAATAGAGAAACAATGCTGGAACACCTTGCTCCATGAAAAGCTTTCCGGGCCATCCTCGTGCTCCGGCGGACGTGCTGCACGAAGTCCTCCTCTGCGCGGCGGCGATAGCATCCCACGCGACGAAGATGCGCATTCTCCCATCGATTGAGTTCATCGTAGACACGCCGGGACCAAGTCCACGCACCAGCCCCATACAAGGCCACAGGCTGAACGTGCTTGCAGAATTCAGCGCACCTTTGGACGACGCTCAAATATTTACATTACAAGGCGTCGGAATAAAGCCAAAATGCGCCAGATGCCTTGGCCAAGCGGTGCCGGACCGCAGGCAAATAATCTCCAGACGACGTGATTAAAGTGCCGAGGACCTCCATTTTCTGAACCAGCTGGACCGTCAATGGGCGGCCATGCTGCCACAGTTCCATTCCACCAGTGCCACGGCAAGTGTTGAGATACCGCAGAGATGCAGGCTTCCACTGCATCGACATCGACACCAAAATATCATTAAAATCCTGCGCCATGGCCTGCGCCGCCTCCAACGTGCGAGCCATAAAATACAAGTTATCCGCCCAAACTAGATGAGTAGTGCGTCCAATAAATGGCAAATCAATGCCGTACTGGTTTGCCTCCCAACGCCCGACGCACTCATTCAGAATGCGGCGGACAACAAGATTCCATTCCCAGGCAGATTCAACCCCTTCCTGCCGGATAGAACGCGTGAACCGGAACTTGCTGGTCGTAGCGCTGCCAAACGACGCAGTGGCCGTCAGATCCAAACCCTCCTCTAAAAGGGCTGCAACGATGTCCGGCGGGAACTCCCAGTAGAGCAAACAATCCACCACCACAGGCGGACTAAGCTCATCAAAAGCAGCGCGCACATCAGCACTTACAAGAAAAACTTGCGAATCACGTCTCCGCCCAACTCCGCGCTGCACCAGGAGCTGCAGCCCAACGCAAATTTGCTCCGTGTTGTGGATTTCTTCGAAGCCGAAAACCATGAACTTCCGCCATTTCTCCCGCAAGTGATGCCTGGAGTACTCGCGTGCAAGATCAACCAAACATGACATGTACCACTTGGACAATGTAGTTAGTAAGCAAATGCCACGAAAGCCAGATAAGCAAACAGCGGACTTGCATTTTGCAATGAAGAGAAGCTCCAGTTGCCTCCAAGTAATCGGCTCGCCAGTGAGATCGCCGCAATAACGTCTCTTGAACAAGTCGTGTATAACCTCTACGACCGCCATGGGTAAATGGAGGAACATCTCCGAGACTAAATTGTCAGCGCCGCTAGCTTTGCCAGAGCAAAGTTTTGCCCTAGACTTTAAAGTCAAATGCAAGTCCCAATCAGGTCCAACAGATCGTGTAGCACTGCGCAGGGAATGAACATGAGCACGGTGCCGCGCCACAGCCACGTCAGTAACGCTACTGTCAACATACTTCGCGGTACAATGTCGTAGAAGCTCATGGCTCCAAGTGGCTCGATCGACGCAGCGAGAACCATTTACCTCAAGTGCTCGGGGCGGCAGTCGTTGCTTCTTAGACGCAGTGTGAAGGATCTGCTCCGCATGCCATTTCCTTCGGAGACGTTGTGCAACTCGTCGCCAGTGCCGTCGATGCGCCATATCAGCAGCAATCCTCGCAGCCTCCTCGGCGTCTCGGAGTTCATGTGGTCGGGCACGTAAGCGCGAGGTCGCAGATGCAAGGACCGAGTGGGGCACAGCACGGGCAGCATCGTGTATCGCATCAGACACAATACTGAGCGCCGGCGCAATGTCAAAAGCATGGGCACCGTCAGGGCAGACATCATGCACAACGGCGTGACGATAAGCATAAGCAGCATAACACCTCCACCTCGTCGTCCTCTTCCTCCTCCTCCGCCTCCTCATCTTCCCTCCCCCCCGGGGTATAGAGTCTCATCCTCCTCTTCATTCTCTTTCCTGCTTCCCCCTCCGTCCCCACTCATCGCTCTTTGGTCTTCGGCCTCCCTCCTCCTCCTCCTCCTCCTCCTCCTCCATCTTCTCATCCTGGTCATGGTTTGTGGCACCTCCTGGATCCCAAACCTGGCCGAACTCGGCGCGTTCCCTTCAAAACGCCGACTCCAAATGCTCAATGCACTCGGCCGACACTTCTCCCATGTACCTCTTCCCGTTTCCCGTCTCGACTTTCCTCCTTCTCTCTCTCTCTCTCTCTCTCTCTCGCTCCACACGCGTCCTTGCGGTACGCCTTCTTCACCTTGGGAGGCTCCAGCAAGTCCGCTAGCGATACCGGCTCCCAGCCAGAGTTCTCCCAAATGACCTGCGGCGCGGCGTGTGGCCATCAACCGTGGCATCCCCTGGAGCCGCTCGCAGTGACGAGACCGTCCAGGGGGGTGACGAGGACAGGTAAAGGAGGGAGGAGGAAGAGGAGGAGGAGGAGAAGGAGGAGGAGGAGGAGGAGGATAGGGGAACAAACAATGACATAAACATAACAACTCGGAGGTCCGCGCGGATTTCTCGGATCGGCACTGGACCCCCTCCCTGGCGCGCGGAGCGCGCCAGAGGCGGCGCCGGAGGCGACGCCAGGGGGGTCCAACGCGAGTCCGAGAAATCCGCGCGGACCTCCGAGTTTTTATGTTTATATCACTTTTTGTTTCCCTAGAGGAGGATATTCAAAAGCAAGGGCAAGTCCAGCTGCGGGCGAGGGTCCTGGCGGCAGCGCGGCTGGCATCTCGAGGGTAGCGTTAAGTCGGGCGTGTCCCCCTACAGTGGGATTTTCGACGAGAAATGCGAAATACTCACAAGAAAAAAACTCCTAAATGATGAAACATACGCAAGAAATGGTCCCCAGACTAGTTTTGACTATTTTTGAATATTCCCCCTGTAGACGGACAGGCCCGACTTAAGGGTGGCTGCCCGTGACGCACGCGACACGAGTGGGCACGCCACCGAGCCCGACAGAGCCCAGGCCTCAGGGAGAGGCACGGAGCCTCGGCGGCGGCCAGGGCCGCCGCCACGGCGTCCCCATCCGCAGACATTGATGAACAAAATACAAAAATAGCAAAAACCTCCTCCTCCTCCTCCTCCCCCTCCTCCTCCTTCTCCTCCTCCACCTCCTCCTCCTCCTCCTCCTCCTCCTCCTCCTCCTCCTCGTCCTCCTCCTCTCCTCCTCCTCCTCCTCCTCCTCCTCCTCCCCCTCCTCCTCCTCCTCTTTCTCCTCGTCCTCTTTCTCCTCGTCCTCTTTCTCCTCCTCCTCCTCCTCCTCGCACACACACTTTCTCCGCCTACCCTGTCACGTTGTCCTTTAGCTCCTTCCTATGATCACACATCCCGTCGCCATCGCCGGCCGAAACCTCCAGGGTCGGCGGCACCGGCCGTAAGGCCTTCACAATAGCAAAGAACAAAAAGGTCCCAAAACGGTCGCCAACAGCAGAAACAACAACTTTCCCAGATGATGCTTTGACTATTCTTGAGTCTTCCTCCTGTGGAGGGGCATGCCCGACTACAGGCCACGCCCCCCCTCGCCGCCATCTCCCAGCTGGCCTTGTCCACGGTGCTCAGCAACGCCTTGATGTCCTTGAAGGTGGTCCCGTCGGCCGTCTTCGCCCAGGTGGCCAGCTCCTGCCCCGGCTCTTCCTTCCGCTGCCCCGCTCTCCCGCTCCCTCCCTCTCGCCCTCCCTCCCTCCTTTCCCCCCTCCCCTCGCCTCCCGGCCTCCAATTTCTGACTGCTCCACTAAATACCACTCGGCCTTCTCCCCTGATGCCGTGCGGAGGACGTCCCGCCCCCTCGGCGTATTGCTTTCTCCACGAGCAAGATCTCACCGTCCATAACCGAGTCGCAACCAGTGATGAGGTACCCTGTAAGCGCATGTAGGGAGCGACATGTTGCAACAGGCACGTCCGGAGAAACGGTAGCATCAACGTTCGTTTGTTGTTGGTCGACTCTGCCGCTGGCTGCCAAAAGTATTGGGTCCAAGCTCGTATCCGGCGCCCGCCGCGTTTGCTTCGTGGTGGCGGATCCTTTGGAATTGTTTTTCGGCCCCCCCTTTCCATCCCTGCATGCGATCGCTGCAGAAACCAATCGCAGTTCCGCGTCAGTTCTGCCAGTTCTGCGAAACTCTTCCCAAGTTTGCCATTCTTTGGTATGCCCTCCAAGTGCCTTTCGACTTGCGTGGTCTCCGCACGTACAAGTCGCTTGCGGCTTACTTCAGGTTCACCCCCCACATCCATGCAAGTAAACTTGCCGGTGTCAATAATGATACCGGAGATAAGCCCGAATCATAATCTTTTTAGGGCTATAGGGCTATGGGGCTATACGGCTATGGGGCTTTAAGGCTATTGAGCTGTAGGGCTATGGTGCTAATTACCAGGCACCCAGGCACCCAGGCCCCTGGGCACCCGGGCACCCGCTGAAATCGGCGGCGCGCCTCACCCGCGCACCCGGGCGTTCGGCGCCATACCTCACCTAACCAGATGAATCCGCGAGGACCCCGACAGAGGCAAGCTCTGATTGGGGAAAGAAGGCAGGCTCCTACGGTCCTACGGGGGACACTGGGAGACCTCCTGGGACCTCCGGGGGTCCCGATCCAGGGCGGGAGCCACCTCATATCTCTCATCGAGGTGGATCCACCGGCTCCTCCTCGCGAGTGGGCGCAGACATGGAGGCAGACGCCAGCACAAACGCGGCCAGCACAGAACAAAGGCACGGACGCCTGCTGCGTGGGCAGCAATCCGACCTGCGCGATCGGGAACGCCGCCAAGCGAACGCAGAAGACACTCCCAGGCACCCCAGAGGGCCCGAAACCATCCAAGTGGCCGACCACAAGCCAGGCTGATGCGCGCATCTGCTGCGAATCGTCCAGCAGGCACTGCAGCAGCGCCAGGCACACACACACTCACACACACACACACTTTTTGCGCCGGCAGCTGGGCAGAAGGTGACTGCTCCGGCGAACAATACACACACAGAGGCGCGCGCGCGGACGCACTGGCTCAACGCGCGAGCGCTTCCAAGCACAACACGGACCTGCTTCTCCAACGCCAGCGGCGCCTGAAGGCCCGAAGGGCGCCGTTGCCAAAGCGCGGGCGGGCCAAAACGCGACGCGTCGGTCACTCAGCGGGGGAGCCAAGCAAGGTCGGCCACTCGCACGCTGCAGGGAAGAGCATGGGTCAGCGGCTGCGTGGCATAGCATGAACGGTGCACGAACAAAACGGTCGTACATAATACATAACGAAGGTCTTCATATCAGGAAGGCCCTGCGGGCTAACGGACCCAAGTCAATGTGTACTGCACTCGCATCAAATCTATCGACGATAAGCGCGGGTTCCCGGTTGTGACTCCGAGATTCGGCCAGCCCTCGTCCAGCTCGGTCATGCCATCATATCTCTGCTTGGTTGCTGATCATGGGTGCTCAAATATTGGTTCGCCTTGCATCTGCTCAGGGCGTGCTTTTTAGCGTTTTCAGCTCGGCGTCTTGGAAACCATTGTTTTAGCGCTTTCAGGTCTCAGCAACACAAGTTAAACACGCTAAACAATATGCCTTGTTATAGCATCTTCAAACATGGTGTTGGCGTTTCCAGCCTAGAGCAGCAACAAAAACGAAACAAACGCCAAAACAACATCCTTAAAAACGCTAAACAAACGTAGCGTGCTTTCCCAGCGTCTTCAGTCTGTCAAGAGCCCAAACCAGAAAACGCTCAGAAAAAAGCAGGGCGCTTTTTAGGCGAACCGAGGCTCAGGCTCCCCTTCCTGCACCGCACCCCGTCCTGGTGCAGCCTGTTGCCCTCGTCGACCTTGTCCTTCTTCAGCTTCTCCTCGGCAGCCTTCGCCTCGAGGTGCTTCCTGTTGGCCTCCTCGACTCTCTGCCGCTCTCCGGCCTGGCGGCTGCACGGCAGCAGGCGCTGATTTGCAGTACCATTGAGGAGAGAAGACCCCTTCCTCCTCCTCCTCCTCCTCCTCCTCCTCCTCCTCCTCCTACGCCTCCGCTCCATACTCCTCTTTTTCCTCACCTTCCTCTCCTTTCCCGTGACATCGCAGCCAAACAAGGGCGACCGTGGGCAGGAATAGAAGAGGGAAAGGGGGAAAGAAACAGCAGCATCGCCTCCGCCAACCACAACTGCGGACTCTTGCAGCATGAGCCGGAGGCTAGATCAGACGGCCGATGTGGGGAGGAACGGTGAGAGAGAGAGGAGCATGAGAGAGAAGAGGAAAGGCGAACGGAAGGCGCTCGCTCGCACCTGGCCCCGCTTCGGAAGGCCTCGGCGCTGGAAGAAGTGCGCCAAACCCAAGAAAAGACACGCACATTCCGCGGCGGGCACGAGCGCTGACCCGGAGTGAACGGGAGCGTTGTTGTTGGGGCCCAGTTTGGACGCAGCTTCGCAACACTCCAGCGTGAGCCTCGCTTTCAAAGGAAATGCAGCCCGCGCCGAGGCGAGAGCGCCAGAGCGGATCGAGCGGCTCAAACAATCATGAAATGGTCGTATGTCAAGCTCAATGTCAAAAACAAGCACCACTTGAATCTTCATCGTTCTTCAACTCGCGTGCCATTTCACGTGTAGGCCAACAGCCCTCGATACCCACCTTCTTCGTCTTCGATCGTGCGTCCCTTGGGGAGTATATCTCGGTGGCAACTCATGGGAGCCTCCCGTACCATCTTGTCGGTTCTTGCGAATCGACGCTAATCGACGTTCAATCGACGCGAAGTCGACGCTCATCGACGCCAAATCGACACTAAATTGGAGCTATCTCATCGACTCCCAAACGCTCACCGACGCTAAAGAGACAGAATGGACAGGGAACGCCGGGCTCCCATGATTTGCCACCGAAGCACGGTGGGGGCTTTGGATAAGGAAGCCTTCAAGAGGCCGGCGGAGAATCAATTGTGGATTGGCCGTGGCTATCGCCGCCGCACTCATCAGATAATGGAGGATGACGATTAATAAATGACCGGGGGTCGTGTTCACGCTGCGGCGCCCGGGATGACGATTAGAAGAAACCGGCCGCGGGCTGGAAAACTATTTTTTAATCGTTCTCCTCCAGTCAGAAAATTATGCAGAAATAACAGAAAACTCTTTTTATAATCGTTCTCTCCCATTTGTTGTATTAATCGTCATCCCGCATTAGGGAATCTCCCAAGGTCTGAAGTCCACGGACACATTCCTCAACCAACGCCGGGCGACGACTCTGGTGGGCGGGCCTCTCACCGAAGCGGGCGGAGCACCGAAGCGAGCTTCGCGGGGCTCTGTGGCGACCCCTCGGGCGAAAGCACGACTCCTGCATGAACCGTGACAGGCCTCGAGCGAGAGCGCGATTCCTAGATCTCGTGGGCGCGCGCCAGTACTGAGCTGTTGCATGTCCTGTGCGAGAGCGCGACTCCTGAGAAGTTGTGAGGACCTCCCGCGCGAGAGCGCGATTTTGAATATACTGCGAGGAAGTGCCAGGCGGAGCCGTTGTTGTTGGTGTCGCAAGCCCGGGGACAAGGGCGCATTTTGAGGCTCAAGCCTTATCCTGATAAAGTCCGCCCGCCCCCTTGTGGGGCCACCAGGCTGTGAGACGAAGTTGCTGTTCCCTACGTCAGTTGCAATTTCAAGTCTCCGATGTTGCAGTGCTGCTTTCTGCTTCAAACTGTAAACTGTTGAAGTCCCCGCGACGGGGGAGCCCCAAACCGGCCAGGTACCACCCTTGAATCGCGTGCTCTGAATTCCCGGGGCGGCGTGGGACACAAAAATATGCTATATTCGCGCCCCTGAAACCAAAAAACCCAGTAAATTACACTAGACTCGCGTCCCCGAGGCCACAAAGAATAGTGAATCACACAATTGCTGCGTCCCCGAAGCAACGAACGTAAAGTACGAAATGCTCGCGTCCCCGAAGCCACAATCCCTAGTAAAAGCAATACTCGCGCCCCCGAGGCCATCAACCCTCGCACATTATACAAGTTGTACGTGCCCGAGGCAACTAACCCTCGTACACAACGCAATAGTCGCATCCCCGAGGCCAAGAGTGCTCCAAGGCGCCCGAAGATGGTTCCAAGACGGCCAAAAGAGGCCCCAAAGAGGCCCCAAGAGCGCCCCAAGAGGCCTCCCGAGAGAGCCCCAAGCGGCCCAAATCGTCGACGTAACAGCGGTTTTTGAAGGACGTTGGCCTTCTGCCACTTTCGGCTTTCCGACGCTCCAAAAGACTGCTCAGACCGCCCCAAGACAGCCCAAGACGCCTCCAAGAGGGCCCCAAGGCGGCCCAAGAGGGCTTCAAGATGGCCCAAGAAGCACTCCGAGAAGCCCAGAGAAGCCCCGATGAGGCGCCAAAAGGCCGCCAAACGGCCGCAAGAGGCCCCAAGAGGCGCCCAAGGCGCGCCCAAGAGGCCCAGAAGATACCCCACGATGCCCCAAAATGCCCCCAAGAGGCGCCCAAACCGCTTCCAAGAGGCCCCCGAGAGTCTCCCCACGACACCCCAACACACATACAAAAGTCCTCAGACTCACAACCCATGCACGGTGGCGGGATAGGCCGACGGTCACTGGGATAACGCCAGCTTGCAGGGGTGCACGGCGTGCTGGATGATTCAGTTTTGGTTTTGGTTCTTGTTCTAAAAGAACTCCCCAGTGGGCTTCGGCCCGTCCCGCCGGCCACCCGCGCGTTTCCCAAAATGCGTCTGTCAATGCCCAAAAACGGCCGTTTCGCTCGGGACATCCTCAACAAATCGCGAAGATGGCCCAAGATGGCCTCCAAGTCCGCCCGAGATGGTCCAAGACGGCCTCCAAAACGGCCCAAGAGAGTCCAAGACGGCCCAAGACGGCCCAAGAGGCCCCCCAGAGGCCTCCCAGACGGCCCAAGAGGCCTCCAAGAGGTCCTCCAGGAGAGTCCGAAGAGGCCAAAATCATTGATTTTCCCTTGGTTTTTGAAGGATTTTGGCATTTGCGCCTTTTCGGCTCTCCGACGGCTCAAGACGGCCCAAGAAGCCCCCAAGATCGCCCAAGAGGCCCCCAAGAGAGCCCCATGATGGCCCAAGTGGCCTCCAAGATGGCCCCTAGAGGGCCCCAAGAGGGCCCAAGAGGCCTCCAACACGCCCAAGATGGCCTCCAAGACGCCCAAGATGGCCTCCAAGACGGCCCTGGAGCATTCCAAGCGGGCCCCAAGTCGGCCCATAGAGGCCCCCCAAACGGCTTCCGACGGCTTCAGACGTGCCAGGAACCCACCAAGATGGCCGAAGTTGGCTCGAAGCTGGCCCGAGACGGCCCAAAAAGCCCCAAAGATCGCCCAAAGTTTGCCCAAGAGGCCTCCAAGACGGCCAAGATGACCTTCAAGATGCCCACGTGTTCCCCGAAGGCTTTCCAAACCGATTCGGGGAACACGTGATCCGATAGCTTGGCAGGTCTGGCCTCAACGTTCGGCCACATAGGCGCTTCCAAAAAGGCAGGGGGCGGCGGTGATTCGCCGTAGGCGTCTTCGATAACGCCAACGTCTCAACATGCGCTGATGGTGCCTATCCGCCCCCGCATGATGTTCCCAGATGCGCCAAGGCAGCGCCGAGACGCACCAACGCGACCCTGATATATCCCATTGTGATAGAGAATGGGGCCGGCGGCAGGGGGCGAAGCCCTTACGGATAAACAGGCTGCGAGCCCCAAGAAGGGGAGATGCACTTCGGTTGAAGAGTCCACAACAGGCACCGAACGGGGGTGGGAGACAACAGCCACCGCTCTGCCAGAGCGACGGCTTCACGGCACAAACCGACGAGCCAACAGACACACAGGCAAACCACCAGGCGGACGAGCAAGAGAGCAGACAACCAAGCGAGCACGCACGCAGACGAGCAAACCAGCTCGCGAACCAACCGCACGCACACACTCGGGGGGAGGGCGCGCCGGGCGGCGCGCCGCGCGCCGCGCGCCGCGCGCCGCGCGCCTCGCGCTCCGCCACGAGCTGCTGGCGGTCGAACACTTTCGGCGGCGGCGGGGCGGGGCCTCCGGGCGGCGCGCGGCGGGGCGCAGGCGCGCGGCCGCGGCTGCGAGGGCGCCACCGCACGGGGCACGCAGCAGACCACTCCTCCGAGCGAGCTGGGGGGGGGTCAGGGTCCTCGGGGGGCGGCGCAGTCTGCCGTGGGGGCGCTCCCGCGCGAAGGGGGCGCAGGAGGGGGGGTGAGCAGGAGGAGGAGGAGGAGGAGGAGGAGGAGGAGGAGGAGGACAAGGCCAAGGACCGCATAAGGGGGAGGCGGAGGAGGAGGAGGAGGAGGAGGAGGAGGAGGCAGGGAGGAGGAGAAGGAGGGGGAGGAGGTAAGGACGACGAGGGTTAGGAGGGAGGGGGAGGGGAGCGACAGGGTGGAGGAGGAGGACGAGGAGGAGGAGGACGAGTAAGGCACCGACGACAACGAAGACGACGTGGCCGTCGCGGCGTTGCCCCGGAGGTGTGTCGTAGGCGGCCGCGGCTGGACGCAGCTCTAATAACTGGCCAGCAAACGACGTCGAACGACGTTAGACGGATTTGGGAGGACGTCGAACGACGTTGAAAGACGTTGATCCTGGAGGGATCCAGCAAACGACGTTGAGCGGATTGGGAAGGCATGCTGACTGGGAAAGGAAGAAGTAGGAGGAGGAGTAGGAGGATGATGATCGAGGTGTGTTGAATGCCTATTCTCGCTATTGACCCTCAGTGGGTTTCCAGAGGTTGCCTGGGACCGTTTGAGAAAAACCTCCGAAGACCCCTGTTGGCTCAAAGTCAAAGAGGGTCAAGAGCGCAAGGGAATACTCATCCGCCTCGATCATTATCCTCATTATCCTCCTGAGGGACGTGCCGAAAAAAGCGACGAGCCGCATGCAGTCGCAACCTCTTGAGCCTGAGGTGAAGCTCTCTACGGGGTCGCGAAGCGCGTGAGTGATGTGTCAGAGAGGACATGCGGTGGGCGGGGAGCCGCATGTGGCCGAACCCACTGGGGCCTCAAGTGGAGCTCCCTGTGGGGCCACGAAAAGTATGAGTTGTGTACTGAAATTGACCCGCGGTGGGCGGGGACTTAGTGGGCCCTGGAAACGACAAGGCCGCTTTTTTACCGGTTCCGCTTTGCCGTTTTTTTGCCGGTTCCGACGCCGTTTTTTTACCGGTTCCGTCGCCGTTTTTTGACCGGTTCCGTGGAGGAGGGAGGAGAGGGGCGGGAGTGAGGTGCGGGGACGCGGGGCGCTGTCTGTTCAGAACGGGGACCCGCCGCCACGGTATGGCTGGGAACGCACAAGGCATCGGCTCCCTGGGCCCCGTGCGGGCTCCCGAGGGACCCTCCCGGGCCCCCGAGAGGCCCTTCTGGCAGGCCACCTGGTGCTGCTCCTGAACGGGGCGCCCGCGAGGCCCCCGGCCTGCTTTGAGGGCCGCACCCCCTCACTGGCCCCCCACTTTTTTTTTGCGCAGGCTGATGGGCGCGCTGCTGCGCCCGTAGCGTCAACGCCTCCCCCCAGACCTCCTCCGTCACGACACTGTCTTTTTGTTCACCGCGTGGATCTCCGGGGGCCGCGACCACCTCCCCAAGACCAGCTCTTCGCCCCGAGTCGTCCTTCTACGCGCCACCAGGGCGCGGCGAGTGGCCGAGGCCGAAGACTGCGCCTCAAAACACCGCCCTCGTGCCATGTGCCACGGGGAGGCGGGGGGGCCGCCCCCTTGATGGGAGCCGGGGGCCTCATCTGGCGGGGCCCGAGGGGCCGCCCCGAGGAGGACACAGCAGAGGCTCTCACTCCTGCTCCTCCTCCTCCTCCTCCTCCTCCTCCTGCTCCTCCTCCTCCTCCTCATCATCATCATCAGCATCAGCATCAGCATCAGCATCAGCATCAACATCAACATCATCAAATTCAACATCATCAACATCATCATCATCATCATCATCATCATCAGCAGCAGCAGCAGCAGCAGCAGCATCATCATCATCATCATCATCATCATCATCATCATCATCATCATCATCATCATCATCATCATCAGCATCATCATCATCATCATCATCATCATCCTTCTCCTTCTCCTTCTCCTCCTCCTCCCCTCCTCCTCCTCCTCCTACTAGGCGTTCCCAAGGTGTTGGCAGCCGTTCCCGGGAGGCGACCAAGCCATCTCGGCCACGAAAACGGCGAGCAGGCCCAGAGTTCGTCCAAGCAGACATCGCCAAGGAAGCTTGCTGGTCAATCCACCTGTTTTTCCTCGACTTTGGTCTCCAAGCGCCCTTCTGCCCGCCTGGCGTGGGCAAAGAGAACGGCCGCCCGACCTCCCGATTTCTCCGGCCCTCAGCTCCAGCGCCGAGAAAGCACCGCAGCATCACCGGAAATCACGAACGGGGCCCTCTGGACCCCGCCTTCACGCCGCACTGCTCGAGCCGCATCGGTCCGCGAGGGTCCGAAGGCCCGAGGCTGGGCGAAGGCGCCCGGCGCGAAACAAAACATACGATGCCCTCCCCAGAAGTCCCGACCCTTTCCCGAAGGACCGGTGTTCGTCCCCAGCCGTTTTTGTTTGACGGCCCGCCGGGCCAGGCGAGGGCCCCTGGACGCCGGAAAAAGGAGAAGCACATGTTCTGTCACATCGTCGATCCCCAGAGGTCTGGACCCCTTCCCTGGGACCAATTGCCCCTCCTGAGCCGTGTTTTGACGGCCCCGAGTGGCCCTCCCTGGAGGCCGACGGTAGCGAAAAACCTCCCGTTGTGATTTTTTCACAGGGCGAATATTTTGCGACGCGAGCGCGTCTGGGGCCACGGCGCCGCGGCGGCGGCGAAGGCGGCAGCGGCGGCCAGAGAACGGGCGGCCTTCGCTGGGCCGCGCGCCCCTGGCGGCAGGCGGCGCGGGGCCGCCGCCGTCGAGTTCCTTCCAGGTGGGCCGAGGAGGAAGGAGGGGGAGAAGGAGGCGGAGGAGGAGGAGAAGGAGGGGGAGGAGAAGGAGGCGGAGGAGGAGGAGAAGGAGGAGCAGGAGGAGGAGGAGGAGGAGAAGGAGGAGGAGGAGGAGGAAGG